TGCTGGTTGTGCAGGCCCAGGGAAGCAGAGGGATGTAAGGGTGGGGCCAGGCCCAGAGTGCTCCTGGGGACCCTAGAAGTAACTGGATTGGTCTGGATGTAAAGGATCTGGAAGCAGTGATGGTTCCCCTGGTGTCTGGGGTGCCAAGACCCTTTTTTAACTTTTATATTTATTTATTTAGTCTTTTTTTGAGTCAGGGTCTCCCTGTAGCCCCAGCTGGCCTTGAACTCACTGTGTAGACCAGGCTGGCCTTATACTGACAGAAATCTGCCTCTGCTTCCCAAGTGCTGGGATTAAAGGTATGTGCTACCAAGCCTGGCTTTTTTTAACTTATAAAAAAACTCTATTGAGAATTTCATACTTGCATATAAGGTGTTTCGATCAAATCCACACCTACTCCCTCCCTTCTAACACCTCCCATATCTCCCATCACTTTTTTTCTGACAATTTTGTGTACTCTTTCTTTCTTTTAAATGGAGGTTTTTGCTGCTCTAACATTCCTCCCTCTGAAGAGGTAACCCTAAAATCTTTTAGGGATTAGATAAAAGCTCCCAAATACATTTGACGTTTTTGGCCTTTGGAACAGAGTATGTTGGTAAGAGGCCCAAGGACATTTTGACTCAAGCCAAGACACTGGCTACTTTTCTTTGGGGTCTTTTTTTACCCTAACTGCCTGGCCAATTCCTACCTCCTCTTCTTACCACACCGTCCTCTGAAGAGGTTACCCAAATTGCTGATAGGGATACCCACATGGTTTTATCCCCATACCCGTTCACTGCCTTCCATTGGCCCTGGTGTTTTGAGGGGTTGCCATGAATTAATGTATATTCTTCTCTAGTATCCACTAGGGCCCATGTGTTTTGTATATTAGTGGGGGACCAATGCGGCCTCCAGTCGCCCAGTATACCCTCACCTGTGGGCAACCTTGGCCACTCCTTCAAGGAAGTGGCTGGCGAGGGGTGGGGGATAGTCCTATCCCATGGGGCTGCCTGCCTTCCTCTGGAGCAGGTGGTGTAGTTGGAGTCACCTGAACCTCCTGGTCTCCAGTTTCTCTTACTCCTGTGGTGAATTGCTGGTCTGGTCTTAAAGCTCTCCAAAGGCTCACCAGCACAGCATTTGGTTGCCTATCAGTTTTGCCCCTATCAACTACTGCTCTGCACAGATCCATCCACGTCTGTGCTCAGGAGATACAAAGGGGCCCTTTTGCTGGATTCCTGCCCCTTTCCCTTGTGTCTTCATGTACCTTGCAAACCTGGTTTACATGTTGGTTGAAATCATTTAAGTCTCCTAAGGTCTCTCCTGCTTCATACTCGTCATGCTGGACCATGGGGCTCAGCACTGCCACCAAAGCTCCATATACCAGTCTTAGGCTTTGCTGAATCAGTTTCTTTCTTAAATCTCTAGTAAAAACAGTCCTGTCTGGGTCTGTGAGCTGGGCATCAAACACAGCTTCTCTCATACCCAGTTCCCTCAACAGGGCCTGTCTTTCCTCTATGGTTTTCCAGTCTCTGGTATTCATGGGACTCTCAGCTGGGGTCAATCCATTATGGACTGATTTCCCTCATATTGCCTTAGATTGTGAAGTCTTGGTCTCAAAGAGGGATGAGTGGTTATATTGCTCAGCTTCTCTACTTCTGTAGTACTTAAATAATTCCATCTGCCCCCATGTCCCATAGCCTCACAAGTCAGGTGGCTAAGGACTCCTTCATTGCCTGCTTCAATGTATTTCCTAGTTCCGACAGCTCCAGTGCTGAGTATACTCTGATTACCATGGTCTCTTGCACTGGACTATTGTTAAGACCTCCTCAGCATGCTGAACCATGGATTTTTCCCTTTCTTTGAATTAAAGGTGAACCCGAGGGGCATCTTCCACTATTTCTAGATCACTTCCTTCTTCATTACTGCCTGACTCTTCCCAGGGGTTCCAGTTTTTAGAGGATCTCAGGATGGGCCTTATATTATCAGTCTGATATGGGCTTTTTTTCCCTTTCATCCTCCTAGACGTGAAAAACAGCATGCCAACACCTCCATCTCCTTTTCTCTCTTACCAATTTATTGGAAAAGTCAGAGGCCAGTACTGATGAGGCCAGCCTCATATCCCTGTCTTGCTCTAATTCATCTCTAACACCTTCAGTTTCCCTCCAGGCTTTAAGGCCTCTGCTTGGGACAGATTTCTTATTATCGATAGCAGTGGCCAAGGGGCCTCTGTAGCTGCTTGTTGAAATTTCTGTCCCTAGTGTGCTACTTCCAGAGCTTGCAAAATCTGTTCTACACCTTCTGCTGTTTTCAAGGCATCTCCATATTCATGTGGCAGCCCCCACAGGTCAAGCAGACATGCCACCCCATACCATCTCCAAGATGGCTACCATCCTGGGATTTCCCCCATTGACCTTGTCTGCTTAGATGGCCTCACCCTAGTTACATATCTCACTAGCCACTGCATTAACCATGCCATTGCAGCCACCCTCACCAAGGCTATGGGGTTAAAATTTCCTCTGCTCACACTCTCCCCTCACCAAACTTTGCTTCGGTTGTTGGTCTTTTTCCCCATATCAGGGACATCACCATTGTTCTTCACAAACTCATCCTCAGTTTTGTCTTATCCTGTCAACTACACCAGTTGTACTAAAACTTACTGCCGGGAGGCACACGTGGCATCCAGTTCCCTCCTCCCACCATCCTTACGACAACCTGAGGCAAGAATTCTCCAAAACTGCTGTTTGGAAAATTCTAACAAGTTTTTTGGGCTTACTAACTGAGCATGGGGTGAAGGTTTACTTGCAGAAGAGTGGGTGCCCCCCCCATTCACAGCTGCACTGCAAAGTACACACTCAAACATAGATCCTATGACTTCCTGACAGCCACACAAAATGAGAGAAGTGCCTCAAGCCTTATATATCCTTATCCCCTCCCCTTCATGCAGCTAAGGCCAACTGGGTGGGAGGGATAACTGTCTCCCCACCTGACTCCTTTCAAGGAGCCTGGGAAGGAGGTATGTCTATAGCTTACTGGCATAGTGGTCCCAAGGAACTTCCAGGTAATAGCTGTATTTTACATTCTAGTCTAGAATGTGAAGGATTGAGAGCATCCTGGGGAGCTATTATTTTCAGATGAGAGGAGTAGCTAGAGGTTAGACAACTCTATTGACTTGTTTAAACTTAATGCCTGTATAGTACAGAAAAGAGTTAATATAGTATAGCTAAGATTGTTGCTATCCTTAGAAAGGTCTTCTTGCAAGACTGGCCTGTGAGAACTTAGATGGTAACTAGTTCCCAACACTGATAACAAAACTTTACTAAACTATAAGGGTGGCTTATTGTGCCTTTGTACATATATTATGCTTTACGCTGAACATCTGCTTCCCTTCTGGGAATCTAGAATTTTGGTAAGTACTAAGTGTGTGTGATTGGTGAACTCTCTACCTGATTTTACCTGGGATTTGCTCCATCTGCTTTTTCCTTTTGCCAATTTTGCTTTTATCCTTTTGCTATAATAAACTGTAATGGTAATGACTTCTCCATCCTGTGAGTCCTGCCAGCAAATTGCCAAACCTGGAAGTACTCCAAACATGGGAGATTATGTTGGGAGACCTCTGTTATGCAAAAGTCGAAGCCCCTTCACACCGGACAGCTCATACAGCTCGGGGAATGTGCCGCGGGCTCCTTTTCATAGCAAGGTGCTTTCTGGCATCTTTCCTGTCTCTCCCTTTGAAGTGGCCGCCACAGATGCCTTGACATAAACATGGCCTTTGGCTCTATGCATACCATGCCTTCCTGTGTGTGGTTTTTACAGGTGGACAATAGTCTAGCAGAAACCCACTTCCACATGTAAATAGAATATCTCACAAAGTATCTAAAAGCTTTTACCACTACCCCCATGGTATATAAATATGCTAGTCTTCTCTTAATAGTCGGAGATCAGGTCAGAGACTGAGACCCGGAGATCAGGTCAGAGACTGGGTCCCAGAAAGCTGGATCAGCAGAGAGCTGGACAGCAAGGAGCAGAGATACAATAAAGCAGTAAACACAGACTAAGCCGTGCCTTGAGTCCTGTGTCCTACTACCGGCGACCTGACCTCGGGTCCCGGAGACTGGGTCCCAGAAAGCTGGATCAGCAGAGAGCTGGACAGCAAGGAGCAGAGATACAATAAAGCAGTAAACACAGACTAAGCCGTGCCTTGAGTCCTGTGTCTTACTACCGGCGACCTGATCTCACCGGAGAGCAGCACTCTCCGTTACCGACCCACGGATATCCTAGCTTTCGCCGCCTCCGTGTTTCTTCCCTGTGGAGTTCACTGGCCAGGACTCCGCAATCCTGAGGAAGGGCACAAGGGTGTAATAGAGGCGGGATCCCGACTAGATAATACTCTAGTAGCAGAAGAAGCTCTCCGCTCCAGAGAAGTGTGTAGCTATCAGCTACAGCCAGCATCAGAGAAGTCTTCGCACCTGCCGTCTCCAGAGAGGCGCGGCCGGCCAGGCCCGCCAGCCGCTAGCTAGCCAGCGGGACCAGAACCACGGCGGGAGAGTGCACGCACACCTGACCCTGGGCCACATCCAGAGTGAATGCGCCCGGGAGCCCAGGCGCGCTCCCCACATCGCCTGCAGCCAGACTCACGCCGGGATTAGCCAGATGTGGCGGAGACCCCAGGGTGCCCGCACACACCACGCCGGGGGTCAAGCGACCCGCCCCATAAGATTAGATTTATTTGTTTTTCTATATTGGTTGGCATTGCTATTTCAAATTATAAATTAAGAGTGTAGGAGGGTAAAGTTGTAAAAATGAAAAACTTGGCTGGGCAGAGAGGGGCAGTCTGTTCTACATAGCAAGTTCCAGGCCAGCCAATGCTACTTAGTAAGATCGTGTCTGAAGAAAAAAAAATCTATAGGATTGTGAGAAAATAGGCTCAACTGAAATTCTTCAAACTCTCTTGTCTTAAAAAAAAACCTTATATATTACTTTTATATTGATCCTATAATCATTTGAAAACATTTTAATTTCAGAGTTGGAGACTTCCTTCACTGATAAGAAGACATCTAGTCCATCTATATTACCAAATGAAAATGGTATTGATGTGAAGCCAGATGATGAGGCAGTTATTCCAAAACCTCGAAGGAAGGCCAAGTAATAATTTCTTCATCCTTCTAGATAGTCTTCAGGGTTATTCTGGTGTTTAATTTAGAGTTCTCAAATAGTAGTGTCTCAATAGGTCTTGTAAATACTGCACCAGCATATTTCTGCATAAAGTAGTATTGTTATGAAAATGGGAGTTAAACCAATTTAATGAGAAATTTGAGAAGAATGAAACACGAAAAAAAGAAAAATATTGTATGGAAATAATTAGCCTAAGGAGTCATCTCTAAGAAAGCATAATACCAAGGGAAGGGTTTCTTACAAGTAGCAAAAATGAGATATTAAATATTAATCATTAAAGATAAGCTACTGTGATTCATTTCCTCATGTTAACCAAATTAGAATTATTATTTTAGCAGTAAGCATAACTATTATATTTTAGTATAGAAATTAAGTCTCAGGTAAACTAGAATAGCATACTTTAAAAAAATACCCTGGAAGTTATTGACATTACTATTTATATTTTAAAATTTTAAACTCTACAAATAATAATCAATTTATTTTTAGAATTCTATAATTTTAAGTCTGGGGAAATCTAGTCACCATGTTTTCTGGATGAGAAACTGAGGTCCACAGAAATTTGAGCAACTTGATGTACATAACAATAGCGGATCTATTTAAGTAAAAACCATGTTTTTCCACTTTAAGTTCAGGACTCTTTTCATTATATTCATGGGTAACTTCTTATGTGGGTCTGTAAAAATTCAAGAATTATCCATCTTTTTTTAACATTCTCCCTGATTACAGGAAAACCCAGCCAGCAGAATTACAATATGCTAATGAGCTAGGAGTAGAAGATGAAGACGTAATTACTGATGAGCAAAGTACTCTAGAACAACACTCTAGATTCACGGCACCCACTGGAATTAGCCAGCCTGTAGGCAAAGTATTTGTGGAAAAAAGCCGTAAGTAATTTCTTGTTTTAGACATGATTTCTAAAAAATATACAAAGCAATCTTTTGACCTTGTTATTATAGTTTTGATGACCTGAATTAAGGAACTGATAAAAAATATGAACAAAAATTTATACACAAAACTAGTCCTTACACTATGATTAATGAAGATGAAAAAACTGGAATAAGTATAAATCAAAAGGGGAATTATTTCAAAAAGTTACATTTTATCTAGATAATAAAATGTTCTGTATTATTAAGTCTTTAGGGAAGGCTTTTCATCTCATGGAGAGTCTAATAATGAGAAAAAGGAATACAGAGTTTGATCTTAACTATAAGAAAAATACCTGAGTAGGGCTGGAGAGATGACTTAGTGGTTAAGAGTACATACTGCTTTTACAGAGAACCTGAATTCAGTTCCCAGCACCCATGCTGGGTGGCTCACAGCTACCTGTAACTCCAGCTTCAGGGGGATCTGACACCCTCTTCCAGCCTCTGTAGGTACCAGCATCAAGTGCACATACCCACATACAAGCACATAATTAAAAATAATAAAAGTAAATCTTAAAAAGAAAAGTGGCTGAGAGAGAAGACTTGGAAGATATATGCCAGAATATTGATGCTTATTGATTCTGGGTTATGGAATTATAAGTAATTTTTTAAATCTCCCCCAGCCTCACCCATTTCTTTTTATTTTGTTGTATTTGACACTATTTTGCAGTTAGTAGTGTTGTGTTAGCAGGTAATGATACAAATTTTAAAAGTAAAAATAAAAGAGAAAAGACGTGATGGTACCACAACAAATAAGAAATACAGGGTGAGGTGTGGCTCAATGGTAGTGCACTTATCTAATATGTGTGAGCCCTAGGTTTGATCCTTAACACCACAAGAAAGAAAGGAAGGGAGGGAAGGAGAGAGGGAGGGAAGATTTATATATATATATATATATATATATGTATATATAATTTTAAACCAGTTTAGCATTATACAGCATGCACTGGTTATAAGACCAGGTTTGCAGTTTATTTTAGCGCAAGCTGTTGTAACAAAATACCACAGATATATTTCTCATAGCTCTGGAAGCTGGGAAGTCCAGGAGAAGGTGCTGACTAATTTATTTCTTGGTGCTGGCTCCTTCCTGGTGTGCACATGACCACTATGTCTCACATGGCAAGAACTCTGATGTCTTTTCTTTAAAAAACCAGAATCCTGTCATGCATGGGAGCCCTACCCTCATGTTAACCTAAGTATCTCCCAGTAGCACCACTGACAAATACTGTTCTATTGTGGGGTTAGGGCTTCAACATATGAATTTTGGGTGACACATTCAGTTGATAAGAATACACTGCCAAAGCATGATTATGACTGTATCTTGATCCCACAGATGTGTTATAGATGTGCTGCCTAAAGAACTCTTGAAACATAAAGGCTCATTCATAAACCTTGCAAATTTAGACTTTGTGCAACTTATTTTAGAATTCTGATTCCGTAAGTTCCTGTCTAAAGGATTTTGGAATTCTTAGCCAATGAGGAACCTGTGTTGTGGAGCACTAATTCCTCACCTAGCATCTCATGGCTGGTGTAAAACTGGCCTTGCACCCAGGTTTCATGCCTTCTAATCAAGTGTCTTCACTAGTATACCATGGGCCATTTAATCTACTCCAGTCTAATCTTTAAGTTTTTTAAAATTTTATGTGTATGAGTGCATTGCCTGCATGTATGTAAGTGCACTCATGTCATGCAATGCTTCCTGAAGTCAGAAGAGGGCGTCAGATCCCCTGGAATTGGAGTTACAAACAGTTGCTGGCCACCCTGTGGGTGCTGGGAACCGAACCTGGGTCCTCTGCAAGAACAGCCAGTGCTCTTAACTGCTGAACCATCTCTCTAGCCCCACTCCAGTCTATTTTTAATGCATGTTTGTGTGAGTCCTGTGTATGCACATGTTCCTGTGTGTGTGTGTGTGTGTGTGTGTGTAGGCCAGAAGATTTCAAGTGTCCTCAGTAACACCATATGCCTCTTTTGAGACAGGCTCCCTTGTTGGGCTGGAGCTTCCCAAATGAGCTAGACTGACTGATCAGTGAGCCCCAGGAATCCTGACTCTACCACCTCAGTGCTGGGATCCCAGGCATGTGCCACTATGCCCAGCATTTTTAGGTAGGCAAACTCAGGTCCTTGCAGCCATCCTCCATCTCCTCTATTTTCAGGCAGTATTATCCAGTTGTTTTTATTCTTGCTTCCTTTAGTGTAGAAACATCCCTTCTTGGGTAACTGATCATAAATGGCACCATGCTTCTGTTAGCTGTCTAGTAAAAGTCTTTTCTTGGGAAAAATTAATTATTTTTTTCATCCTCTCAAACACCGGAGAGGTAGATTTGATGAGGGTGATTTAGTGGGACCTTTCTGGCTTCCTAAGGTCTATTTGTGGCTTGCTGCATATACAGGAAGGAGCCTCCTAGTCTACAGTGAAAGTATGAAGCCCCACCCCACTGTTGCAATGCCAGTGCTTTTCATACAATTCTGGAGCTTTGTGAATACCACCTTCTTTTGTGCCAGTACAGAAAGCTATGCTACTCACTCTAATATCTTTTCCTAAGAACTTTAAAATGGTTTTTAAATACTGTCTTACCTTGATAGTGTAAACATTTTAATACTTCTAAAGTCTCTAAATTACTTTTATAGACTGTCACATTAGAGGTTTTTAGATTTAATTGTGAATTGAAAGTTCATTATTGTATTTAATTAAATACAGTTGATTCTTAAAATTGTTACTTTATACTTCCAATTATTTCAGTTATTTCTGATTATGCTTAAGGCAATTTCCTCTCTGACAAAATGCTGGATAAAGATACCCATGGGAATGCAAATAGCAGCAGTCCTTGTAAATTGTGTTCTGAGGGGGAAACAAGCTATGTGTTAGGTGATATAATAGGAATTTGATTGTCTTACAGAAACACTATCATAACAAGAGTATACATTACTAAAGCTAGTCCTAATTTTACATATGATTACAAAAATGTTATTCAAACAAGATTTTGCATGATTTGAAACAGAAATCCAAAAGAAAAATGAGTAATCAAAGTAAT